CACAGGGAGGGCGGGGCTAATAGCAACCTGAGCGACTGCATCGCGGGAGTCCCAGACCGCACGGGCAAGCGCAGCAGTAGAGAAGGTCTCACGGTCATCAGAGGAGGGGTCAGCAGGGAGGGGAGCAGGTGCGGGGGGGCGGGGGAGCAAGCCGTCGACATGGACATTCAAAGAGTGGCCATCCTGGCGCTGACCTGTCAGGTGGCGGCGGAGATCGGAGAGCCAGGCGGTAAAGTCAACCGCATGGCCCTCGGCGTCCAGTCGGAGCACGAAGTCAGCCATCGTGCAGGGTCAGCGGCACAGCTCCACAGCTCCGCAAGAACACAGTGACGCAGGGACACGGTGGCGGCACTCTCCATCACGGCGGCCGCGAGGCGCCCCAGCGCTGGCGAGTAGAGTAGACGGAGCCCGAGGTGGCACGGCAGGCCGAGCAGGCACGAAGAGGGGCCGGGCGAGTAGTGGGAGAGGCCAGGCAGACGCGGCGGGGCCAGGCAGGCGCGGCAGGGCCAGGCAGGCGCGGCGGGGCCAGGCAGGCGCGGCGGGGTCCGGCAGGCGCGGCGAGGCCAGGCAGGCGCGGTGGGGCCAGGCAAGCACGGCGGGGCCAGGCAGGCGCGGCGGGGCCAGGCAGGCGCGGCAGGGCCAGGCAGGCGCGGCGGGGCCAGGGAGGCGCGGCGGGGCCAGGCAGGCGCGGAGGGGCCAGGAAGGTGCGACGGGGCCAGGCAGGTGCGGTGGGGCTAGGCAGGCGCGGCGGGGCCAGGCATGCGCGGCGGGGCCAGGGAGGTGCGGCGGGGCCAGGCAGGCGCAACGGGGCCAGGAGGGCGCGACGGGGCCAAGCGGGCGCGGCAGGGCCAGGCAGGGCGCGGCGGGGCCAGGCAGGCGCGACCGGGCCAGGCAGGCGCGACGGGGCCTAGCAGGCGCGACGGGGCCCAGGAGGGGCGTGACGGGGCGAGGAGGCGCGACGGGGCCCAGGAGGGGCGCGACGGGGCTAGGGGGCGCGACGGGGCCCAGGAGGGGCGCGACGGGGCTAGGGGGCGCGACGGGGCCCAGAAGGGGCGCGACGGGGCTAGGAGGCGCGACAGGGTCCAGGAGGGGCACGACGGGGCCCAGGAGGGGCGCGACGGGGCTAGGAGGCACGGCAGGGCCCAGGAGCGGCGTGACGGGGCTAGGAGGCGCGACGGGGCCCAGGAGGGGCGCGACGGGGCCCAGGGGCGCGACTGGGCTAGGAGGCACGGAAGGGCCCAGGAGGGGCGCGACGGGGCTAGGAGGCGCGACGGGCCCCAGGAGGGGCGCGACGGGGCTAGGAGGCGCGACGGGGCCCAGGGGGAAGCGGCGGGGCCTAGCTAGGGTACGGGTGGAAGCGGTAGGTGGGGGGGGTTCTAACCTACGCGTGATACCATGTTAAAGTAAGAACTGAATGATTAACTAGAAGTGGAAACCTAGAACAAATACTAGTTGGTTGTGCTCACTAGAAGCATACCCCAATCTAGCCTATAACTTGTACACATCTAACATGTATAAGTTAACAGGGTAACCACCCCGGTATTATTTGCAGTAAATTATTGGAGCCCCAAGGAAGTCCACCACATCACGAGCCGCGCCGCGACCCCAATTCGCCAATGCCCATAACTTCGAGCCTCCTCGCCAGCACATTTCTCATTCAGTTTAGCCTCTGACCTTCTCGCCTCCTATTGCACACTCATCCACTCATCTTTAGACACCTTTCCCAAGCCTCTGCAACTCATTCTTCTCTGCCATAGGTGCTGCTGAAATTCGCAAGCCCGCTGATTCTTTTCGCTGCGCCTCACACCTCCACACAAGCGCCGCTGAAACCTATCCAATCCTATTTCTCAATGGGAAAATTGGCAACGAATTCTGACCACTTCTGCTCAGCTAGAGGACTCTGACTCCGTCCCCACCTCCGTCCGCCCTCAGTCAGCCTCTGTTCCCCCTTACCAGATTCTGCTAGCTGCCACCTCCTCCATACCGTCCCATTAATCCCATATTACCGGTAATTGAGGCCACGGAGGGCACAATTCGCGGACCCCAGCGGCAGTCACGTGCAGCCCGAACTCGTCGCCCTGAAGGCGCGGGTCCGCGTCCCGTGGAGCGTCCCACTCTTCCGTAAACGGCGCGACTGGAGATGACGGTTTCCTCGCTAGAGCAGAAAGGCGCGATGGCAGGGGCTTGGTCTTCAGGCTTGCTGGACTGCCATCGCGACGGCAAGACATGTAAGTCACTCTCGCCCCAACTCACGGACCGCCCGCTAGGTGCTCCTCTTCCCCGTTGATTCCAGTGTCGAACATCGCATCCTGTCACCATTATCTCGGTCAGCCGCTAGCCAGGACTCCGTGCCTGTCACCACCAATTCGTTTAAGTCGCCAACGTCGCCGCAATCGCGAAAACATCGTCCTAGTCCTCAGATGCTCGCTACAATCGTCGACGCTACACCCCGGAAGGGATCGGCGCGCTCTGAAGATCCGGCTAGCTGGCGACAATCGCGATAGTCTGGGAGGCAAAGACCTTTCGTCTGCCTCCATCACGGGATCCCACGCACTCGTTCCATCACTCTCGAATCTCTGGAGCTCGCACCCATGTTGCTTCATTTATCAAACAGTCTTTCTCTCTCCCTGCCCTTCCAATTCTTCATCACTCGGAGCGTGTCATCGCAGGTCTGTGCGCGTGGTGCTGCCCCTGCGTGCTCGTCGGCCGTATCGCCGAAATCGCCTCTGACGGCTTCACAGGTTTACTCTCTGCTATACGCGCACCCGCTTTTCTGTCTCACCATAACGCGCAGCTATTATCCGGTCTGCTTTCCTTTTCTTCCTTTTAAGAATCCTGATTGCCCAAGCTGTCCTTTGCAGAGCGGTAACTGAACCGTAGCTGATAGTGAAGGAATGCTAAAGACAGGTCATTCTAGCACGTGTGTTCGTTGCAGACAGGACCGGTTGTCGTTCCGGTCACCCCCATTGCTGCATACTGGTCCTGCTACTAGGAAAAGGACTGCAATTCGCTCTTGGACACCATCATAGGGCGTTCGGTCGTTAGAGCAGCGTCCTGATTCGGTGAATGTGCGGTTAGCGGAGGATCCGCACGACTGGTTTCAGCTGGATGCGTCACTCTAATCGTGTGTACCAGGGGCCAATTGGCAAGCCACCTGCCCCTGGTTATGCTGATAAAGACAGCTACCTCGCCTTGCTTGTCTCTCGTCTCCTCTCGGCAGCCCCCTCATATTGCTCTCGTCGTTACATTCTCCCTGCTCTCACATTTTCCTCCCCCCTATTTTTTTTTTCACTAGAGATGCACCTTCGTCATTCGCCCATCAAGTCATCATGTCATCATGGCTAAGGGCAGGAAGGGTGACGTCATTATGCCGCCGTCATGCTCATCAAGTGGTCATGCCATCATGCCCAGCAGCGGCATGATGGCGACATGATGACTTGATGCCGCCATCATGCCTATCAAGTCATCAAGTCATCATGTCATCCAGGAAGGATGACGCCATCATGTCGCTGCTAAACCAGGCGTCTGATCTGCAGCCTCGTGACAGGCGACTCCCCCTTCTCCTTCCCTCCCTTTACTTCCCTTCCCTTTTCCCCTCCTCTCCCCCCCTCTCCCCTCCTTCTCCCCTCCCCACCCCACCCCACCACTCTTACACCCTCCTGCCTCCCAATTTTCCCCATCCCTCAATCTCCCATGCCCCTTCCAACTGCCCGGTCACTCCTCACAAACCAGGCTGCATCTGATTACAACCTGCGCCATGGAATGGGCCGACATTGTTGGCTGGCTCCCAGACGCCATGCTGCTGCTGGGCGTTCATCCAGTACTTCACTGCGGGGTTATGTGGCTGTCTCTACTCTAAAGGTGACGCCTCTGAATCGCACAACTTATTTGTTACTATTTCAGCTCCTTAGAAAGGACGGCTTTCTGCGGAGTCCTGAACCCCTCTGAATAGTGCTGACCGCCGTATCGTAATTCCTTCAGGTTTCCGTGGCATGCTGAGGGACAAGTACGGGCTGCCCAGCTGGCCCTGCACGGACGCTGTGCTGCACGTCTTCTGCCCATGATGTGCCTTTGCTCAGGAGTACCGAGAACTCAAAACCCGAGGGTGGGACCCACTGCTCGGTAAGCCTCCTTTCCATGACTAGCAGTTGCTTTCCTGAGAGTTGAGCTCGTCTCGTGGACCCTGAAAAAGAGCACAGTCCAGTTCGCCTTCCCTTCCTCAGCCTCTCCACAGCGTCTTGCATCTCCATTGCCAGTAATTTCTAGGAAAGTTGTGTCCCCAAATCGTCTGTTTATCTACAGGCTACACAGGGAACGCTCTCAACTTCAGTTCACAAAAGGTGGCTCCTTCTCCCCAGAGAATGGAGTGAAAGCTCGTTGCACTGCTGTGTTGACCAAGAATAAATGCGTAGCTTATTGAATAGCTACGGTACAAGTTGTGGAGAGCTACGTATGCCCTCTCCCTTAGTGTTTGTGTTTTGCTGTCTTCCTCTCCCTAGTGTCTCAATATGGCGTGTAGTCTATGTTGTTGTCTCCTATTAGCTGTAATATCATTGTTGTGAAGCTAAGGTGAAGCAATTTTCGCAGCAGGTACACTTGGTCTTATTTCCCATCTTATGGGAATGCTAACAAAAGCCCACTTGTTGTAGTCATTTCATGTGGAAAATACATGAATTTTGGATCCATTTCCAGTAGAAAAATGGTCAGTGGACTGGCAGGTGCACTGATCGCTTCTCAAAATCAGCAAAATGGTTGGAAAATACCAGTATTAGACTCCGCAAATAATAGGAAACGCCATTTGAAGGGCATGATGTATGTATAGTCCGCGAGCATGTCCCTGTATTTTGTACGAGGCACCCTATATGTATTTTGGCGTGTACACGGAGATGATGTGGTTTGGTCCCTTTCGGTTGACTCTTTGCCTCCTGACCTGTATCTGAATGCTTTCTCCATCACCACCGCATCCTACAAATTTCGAATAGAGTCGGGCTGTCAACATGACTGCTGTCTGAAAGGCTGACGTTGATGGCTTTTGTCATGTCGAGCCGCTTCAACTCACGACAATCCCAAGGACTGCTGCCTAGCGAAGTTGCTGCTAGCAGCAGAGAAGAAGGCGCATGGATTCTCAAAAAAACCTGAAGTCTGACGACGGAAAAATCGATGCTGATGTCGGCCAATCCAGAAACAAATCGGAAATGCCTTATAATGCTACCAATGTCTGACCAAGCTTGACACCTTGAGGTGTGAACCCTGAGGTCCTGGGTCCGTTCCTGCACTGTCTGGATCCATTTTCCATGAAGCCTTCGGGCCTCTGCTGCAATAACAGTCATTTGCAAGGCTGTCAGGCAAGGGTTGCCGGAGAGCTTACTACGCAAGTTTGAACTCTTAGCGCGTAGTCTTTCCATGGATGGCCTTCCTGAATGGATAGCCTTTGACAACATAATCAGGTGACGTGGTCTATAAGTTTCGTTCCTGCATTCCATTAGCGCATCCCAGCGAGGGTGTTTTCTCGTTCTCCGCAGTGGACGCCTCGTTTTTCCTGCATGGAGGTTCACATTCACGAAGAGCTTCGCAGCGGGGGTAATAATACACATCAATTATGGCGTCATGGCGATATTGGCAGGGATAATCTTCATAATAATGTCGGAGACGTCGTCATACCAGGCCGAGTTCCACCCTCCTGCCATGTGCATACTCCAGTACGATCAACCCTCGCGTCTTCATTGTCACAGTATTCTGCTAATATTTCTTGCCGTTTGACTTCTAACGCGAATATCCCCCCCTGTTTTTGAATCCGATTCTTACAGATTCTGTCAGGTGCTGACGTTCATTCCACTTAATAAATACAACCAGTATCATCAAACCTCACTCCTCGGAGAACTATGGCCGCCGTGTAAATCATGCAAGGCGGAAGGCAATCTTGAGAGGAAACGTAAGTTCTTTTTGCGGTAACATGAGTTGCGTTGTCACACTTCCTCACATCCTGGGTCGTGGTTTGTTCGTCGCTTGCTTGCCTAATGCTTAGTAATCGTATCTGCTCCTTGAAGGGTCGCGCTGGCTTCCTGGTCGTTGCTAACGATCATGGTGAGGAGCAAAAGTTGGCTACTGATGCCATATGCTTCTCCGAGCCATCACCTAATGATGGACCCTCCATTCCTCTCTTCAACGGTAACCACTTGTCTGACAAATGGGCTCACTCTGAAGGACTGCAGAAAGGCGCTGCTCTTGGGCTTGCAAAAGCAGGAGCTATTGCAGATGAAAAACAACACCGAATTCAGCGGCAGGAGAGCAACCGGCAGCAGAATTCTCCATCTTCAGGGCCTTTGCCAAAGCAACACCAGCCCACAGGCTGGCCTTCAAGCGACTTCCCTCCTAACGAGAGCTCCTCCTCCCAACCCCATGAGCACACGACACAGGATATGGTGTCGTGCACTGCTTCCATTGACTCTGCTCAATTTGCAGTTCAGGGAAAGTCTCTTCTTCAGTTTCTAGAAGATGGATCTGCTGTGTATGCTGGATTCGGAAGCAGCCTCTCTGTGCACCAGCCTGGCCAGGCGACACCACAGTATGATGCACAGCTGGCCTTAGAACGAGTGAGCTTGGCCCCTGTTCCCTTCCTTCAGGACGGTTTCCACGGTCAGCCTTTTGAGGATTTTGACGATGGGTTTGCTCCAGGTTTATGGGCTGGCCACGCTCAGCAGGGAAGTCTAATGGATCACATGCAAGTTGACGGCAGTCAGACTCATGCTGGTCACGAGTCTGAGCTGTTCGCTATTGCTGCTCAACCTGGGTCTACCTATATGGCTATGGTGACAGGAGAAAAGGAGGACGGTGCTGCTGATTCTGTGCCACGGACGCTCCTAATGCCCTTTAATGGCAAGGGCAATATTGCTGTTGGAGATGGTGGTGATGATGACGACCCCAGGAAGGCTGAAGTGGAGCTCGAAGCAAAGTCTGTACCAGATATGTCTTTCATTCTTGAGGCTGCACAAGAATTGCTGATGGAGGTCTGCCGTTGCCCTAAACCATCTCGCAAGTGGAGGAGAAGGCATGATAGCAGCAATCTCGGAGATGGCATGGGGCAAAGGCCATCACCAGCATCATCATCTATCAGTGGTGTTATTGGACAAGGACAGCTGCAGACTATCCCCGTCGGTGGTACAAGAGAGCAGGCTCAAAGGCTTCGAGCTCTCCTTGTAGATGTAAGTTGCATGCTTTTCTTTCTGTTTATCACTTCTGGGGAGTGGTGTAATAAATTGTGTGCCTTTGGATGGTGCAGGTTGAGAAGTCATATGGAAAGTACAAGGAGCAGAACAAGACCCTAGCTGCAGCATTTGATGCTGCGACTGGCACAGAAGGTTCAGCTAACATGTACACCAAACCTTCGCTTCATGCCATCTCTACTGCCTTCCGGTCCGCCAAGGATGGCATTGAGGCGAACCTCCAAAGGCTTGCAAACTAGACTGATGTACCCAGGATGCTGTCAGGGTGGAAATAATGGTTGCTCTGCATTTCACTTCACGGAATTAGTATTTCTGGCTTATGGTACAAGCATGTCAGCATATAAGGAGCTAACTTTGAAAATGAATATGAATGTTCATTATCCAATGGGACATATTGTATCAGTATTGGCCATCACCTAATTAGTAGAACATATCTCGAGCCGTTTTGTCAGGAGAATAGCTTCACTACGCTGCTGTGTGTCAGATATCCCGCTTGCAGATTTGTCTACCTCGAAGCTATCATCTGCCTGGCAGTACGGCAGTTCAAGATTCCACTGGAAGAAATCTCGTTCAGCTTCTCCCAGTGCTTAGAATTAACATGGCCGACCCGTCTAATCTTGCAATATGTAGATTGGTTTTGGAGATCATAGCAAGTACTTTAGGTCGTCACTCAAATTTTGACATTCGCCGGCGCGGTTGCGAATGAGGGAGGCTGTCTCTGACATTCTTTTGCTACCACAGACAATTTAAACTTAGGGTGCTGCACCTGTTTCCCAGAATCTAACATTGTCCTTTACCATGGCGGTGGGCGGGAATAAGACTGCTTCTGGGGGCACCACTCGCCTCGACCGGCTCCTGATCCTTCTTGACAGTACGGACGCCGTTCCTCTCGTTTTCCACCCCCATGATTCCGCTACATGACTGGACGTTCCCTTTCCACGCCAGTTTCACAAAATCGCTTCACTACTTTCATCACGATACTGAGTTTCAGACCCAAAAGAACCTTTGCTCCGCTTCACGGCTCCCGTCCCACTTCTGTTTCTTCGACTTATCACTTGTTCTCTCCTCCGTGTCAAGCAATGACGCTCACCTATCCTCGCCATTTCTTCTTTCATTTTCCCTGTCGAAATCCTCTTTCCAGCTGGAGAAGCGGCCACGACGCGCGACACAGCCGCGCGTCAGATTGGAGAGTTAGCCAGCCTCCACAGAGCGGATTTACATGCTCTCATTCGGCGTGTACGATTCCCAACTTTCATTGGATGCCTCTGCTGTCAGTTTCCAGGCATTCCTATCCTAGTCGAGCCTAAGTCAGTGTTACCCATTTGAGGCCGTGCACCTTGCCTTATCCCTCGACCCTCAGTTTTGCCAGCTCTTCCTGCATTCAAGTGTCGTTGCAACGTTGGAACCATCCACGACTAGATGCTGAACAGCTTTGCCTTCCTAGTTGTTAACTATCCCTCCTTTTTACACCTCCTCTTCTCTCCTCTCCCCCTCCTCTTCCTTCCCTTCCCCTTCTCCCCTCTCTGCGTGCAGGTGAAGAGGCTGCTGAAGAGCAGCAAGTGGGACACGCGTGTGGCAGCAGCAAAAGCGTTGGGGTACATAGCCCGCAACACACCACACCCCACCGTGCAGGACCTGCAGAGTGCTGCTGCTGCTGCATCTGCTGATGGAGGGGGGGCAATAGCAGCACGCACTGGCACTGCTGCTGCAGCCCCTGATGCTGAAGGTGCCGCACTCGCTGCTGCTGGAACTACTGCTCCTGGTGGCGGCTTGCGCTTCGATGGGTATGTATCTGATGGTGCGAATCCATATGCTAGAGAGTATTGGTGTGTTGAGAACGAATGTTGAATGTTCCAAGCGCCGAGGCATCCATTCATATGCCGCCGCTCCTTAATACTTTCCTCCGTAACCCCTCTCCACGTGCCTCATCATGCAATGCAGCTTTGACATTGGTCGAGTGTTGGACAATGGGGCACCGCTTGTGGCATCGGCTGGGAAGGTAACGCATGCTCATAATGTTGTATGCTCATGATGCATGGAGGTGGATGTTGTTATGTGTTGTTCATGTTGATGCAATGCGATGGTGATCTATGGCTGATGGCGCTGCTCATAGCTTGCCGACATTATGGTTTCTATGGTTCATGTTGAGGAGGATCGTGGTATGGCATGTCATGAGTGGATCAAAATGCAACATCATACAACGCTTTTCTCTTGTCTCTCCCCAAAATCCTGCTCCCTCCATGCGCAACCCCAAACCATACCCTACCTCACACAATACTGAATTGCACCGCATGCCCAACTCCGTATCTTGCCAATCCTCATAAGATATCCAACTCTACATGCCCAGTCCCGCACTTTGCACTGTGTTCACTTCCGCACTGTGCCCTGCCCAAACCACGCACAGGAATATGATATTGCAGCAGTTGGGCGGGGAGGGAAGGAGGCAATTGCGAAGCAGAAGCAATCTTTACGGCGCAGACTAGGTGAGATATTAGAATGGAGTCCTGTTGCAAGGTCCAGGTGTTAAGTCCAGGCGGAAGGTCCAGGTGTTGCCCAGGTGCAATTCTTCAAGTGCACCACTTCAGGTGAAAGCTTCAGGTGAAAGCTTCAGGTGTCAGCTTCACATGTAAGCTTCACGTGTAAGCTTCAGGTGTTAAGCATAATCTCACGCGCATTACCCCGTCTCTTTCTGTGTCGCCTCCTCACACTTCCGCTGTCACAGGTCTGGACGAGTGTGAGCGATTTATGGATGTGAGTGATATCATCAGAGACGAGGATCTGGAAGCACCAGCACAAGCAGCAGCACTCCCAGCATCGGCCTCAGCAGCAGCAGCAGGGTCATCAGACCAGGCTTCAGCAGCAGGCAGCAAGCAGAAGCAGCAGCAGAAGAGAGGATCTGCGGCTGGATCTAAGCGTGGAGCGCAGGATTTAATGGCTGAGATGCTGCCAATTGGCACCAGTGCAGGGGCTGGTGATGGGGGCAGTGCTGCTGGTAGTGGGCCGCCAGCTTTGGCCAAGTCCCTCAGTGCGAGAGAGCGAAACCTGCTGAAGCGGAAGGCAAAGAGCTTGAGCAAGGAGGGGGGGAAGAGGGGAGGCGGGGCGCACGGTGGCGTGGGGGAGGAGGACGAGGAGGATGAAGGAGAGGGGGAGAGGGGCGGCAGGAAGAAAATGCGGACAAAGAGTGTGGTTTCAGACGGGAAGGAGGATAACAAGGTGCGCTATTTTTTCTCCGCCTTCCTTAGCTGCATAATTTCCTTGGTCTTTTAAAAGTGGGCTTTTGATTTGGAGCTTTGGGGCGAGAGGAGGGCGGGATAAGGAGGACAAGATTTGGAATGTTGCAAAGTCTATCCCCCCTTTTATCATCCCTCCCATTTTTCACTATTCCCTCCACCCTGTCACCCCCCTGCCACCCTCCTCCAGATCACGGTAGAGCAGGTTGCAGCAGAGGGGGACGATTGGGAGGATGAGGAGGAGGAGGAGGGGGAGTGGCCTTTGCAGTCGCTGTGCGAGCAATTGCTCACAGACATGTTTCATCCAGGTAAGCATCTTAGCTTCTATTCAACCAGGTGAGTGTTCATGCTGGCCTGCTGGCCTGCTGGCCTGCCTCCCTGCACCATGACCTTGTGTCTAAGTTTTCCAACTCTCTCACCTTTTCTGTTTTCCTCCCTTCCTTTGTTTGCTCGTGCAGTGTGGGAGGTACGGCATGGCAGCATCTTTGCCCTCAGGGAGGTTTTGTCTGCGCATGGGAACAGTGCTGCAGTGTGCCGCCCAGTAGTTCCCTCCAAATGGGCCAGCGCAAATGGGAAGGAGGAGAGAGATGATGAAAAGGAGAAGACGGAGTTGGAAGAGGGGGGAGAGGGCGAGGCTGGAAAGACAGTTCCAGAATCAAAAGAGTTGGATGTGGGTGTGGTCAAGGCTGTGATGGGGAGGATGAAGGAGGAGGAGGAAGGGGTTAAAGAGGAGATGGAGGAAGGGGATCATGGGGGCCTTAAAAGAGAAGAGCTTGCGGAGGAAGGGATGGGGGGCATCAAGCGGGAGGTGAAAGAAGAGGAGTTCTTGAGTGAGCGAGTGGGTGCAGTGAAGATGGAGGTTGAGGAGAAGGCGGGTCCCAAGGCAGAGGTGAAAGAGAAGGCGAAAGGGGAAGAGGGAACGGTGAGAAGTAGAGTAAAGGAGGAAGCGAAGGGAGAAGAGGATCAGATAGGAGTGAAGGAGGGTTGGCTGGAGGGTGTCAAGAGGGAAGCAAAGGCAGAGAAGAAGGAAGAGAGTGGCGGCTGGCTCGGCCTCTCCATGGGGCATGAGGCGTCTGAAAGGCCTCGAAAAGAATCCAGGGAGTTCGCATCTGGGGGCATGAGTGCTGACGGTGGTGGTGTGCGTGTGAAGCAGGAGGTAGGAGAAACGGGCAGGGAGGAGGGTAGGAGAGTCGAAGGGTCTGGGTTTGATTTAAACGAGTCGATGGATTGTAAAACGGAGGCCCCTGAAACGAGTGTGACAAATGGGGAGGATGTCAGTGCCCAGAAGGCTGGAGGGAGGGTGCGTATGGGCTTGGACTTGCACCTCTCAGATGGCATGGAGCACGAGGCTGAAGAAAAGGGAGGGGGATCAGTAGGAATCTCGGGGAATGAGGGGAGCAAGGAGGAGAGCGAAGGAGCGGGCAGCAAGGATGGGGGTAACGAGAGGGGGAGTAAGAGCGAGAGGAGTGAGGAGGTTGTAGCGAAACGGCTGGATTTGAACATGGAGGTGGAAGAGGAAGGGGGTGAGGAGAAAGCGGTGGACGAGGGGGAAGGGGCAGAGGAGGAGAAAACAGCGGGGGAGGAGAGAGCGCTGGTGGTAGCAGGGCCTGTGAGGGAGGTGGAGAGGAGTACTGGGACGGCAGTGGGAGCAGCAGGGAAGGCACATGTAGCCATGGAAGCTGCGAGGAAGGCACAGATAGCCATGGAAGCTGCGAGGAAGGCACAGGCGGACAATGAGCACTTTCTGGAGGACTGTGCCATCCGGCTGCTCTGCATATTCGCTCTGGACAGGTATGCTGCTCGTCCCTTTCCTATTCGTGTCCTATGCCCCATCCCTCCCTGACTGGAGGTCTTTGTGCCAGAGCAGGTGCTGGTGACCATATGGCGTCGCATGGCACCCCGTTCTATTCCTTCTCCTCTTCCCCCACGTCCCCTCTGGCTGGAGGGCTTTGTGTATTTTGAGTCGACTCAAAATACTCTGGCTGGAGGGCTTTGTGTACGAGGTGGTGGTTGTGCCATTGTCCGTGCCTCATTATTACCCCCCCCGTTTAACCCCCAAATTCTGTTTCATCTCCTCTCTCTGTCCTTCCTCTTCCCACTGCTTTCAGGCTGGAGGACTTTGTGTCGGACCAGGTGGTGGCGCCAGTGAGGGAGGCGCCATCGTCCATGCCTCATC